AGTTTGCAGATGACCTAATGATCTTTTGTGAAGGAGGTTTTAGCGAAAATGTAGCAAACCTAAAGGAGCTAATCGAAGGATTTGAAAGTATTTCTAATTTGAGAATAAATTTGGAAAAGAGCTGCATAGCGGGTATAAATTTGGAGGTTGGGGAGGTCGAGGCTATTGCAGAGTGTCTTGAGTGTTCCACCTCTATTTGGCCTATGTCACATTTAGGGCTTTCTTTAGGGGCAAATCCTAGGGAGAGTAGATTTTGGACCCTAGTGGTAGAAAAGTTTGAGAAGAGATTAGCCTCATGGAAGATGAACTATGTCTCTTTAGGAGGGAAAATTACACTAATAAGAGCTACCTTGGCTAACTTACCTACCTATTTTTTGTCTGTTTTTAGGATACCAGTTAGGGAAGCTAGGAAACTAGAGAAGTTGAGAGATTTCTTATGGGAGTCGGGACAAGAAAAAAATGATCACTTGGTTAATTGGGAAATTGTGTGTAGAAGTAAAGAATAAGGGTTTGGGACTTGGGAGGGTAACTAGAAAAAATCAAGTTCTGTTAGGGAAATGGTTGTGGCGATGACCATTGGAAAGAGAGAGATTGTAGCATGAGGTGGTGGAAAGCATTCAAGGGAGGTTAGAGAATCGATGGGATGTTGGTGTATCAAGGCAAGGTAACCTAGCAACACCTTGGAAGGCCATTCACAACACCCTTCCTCAATTCCTCAGTTTTATCAGGTATGAAGTTTGTTCTAGCAATATTGTTCATTTTTGGGAGGATATTTGGGTAGGAGACACACCTTTAAAGGATCTGTTCCCTTCGCTATTTTCTGATTCTTTGTACAAAAAGAGGTTGTCTCACCTTTGGGAACACCCTTAGATCCTACTTGGGATTTTGGGTTTCATAGAGGACTTAGGGATGATGAAATTGAATCTCTTTCTGTTTTGCTTGGTTGTCTTAATCAGGTTTGTTTGGATCCCTCCAAGCCAGATAAGAGGATATGGACTCCTAGACTCAATGGAACATTCACTTGTGCTTCTTTCTTCAAGTCCATGTCTCAACTTTCTACTCGCCACCCTTTCCGTCAAAAGAAATTTGGTGCAAGCCAGTTCTCCAAAAAATTATGGTGTTTTGTTGGGAAGTATTCCATGGGAAAGTAAACACTCTAGATAACCTACAAAAGATTAGACATTTCCTCTGTATTTCTCCTATTTGGTGTATCCTCTGTAGAGCTCATAGTGAGGATTGTTACCTCCTATTAATATCTTGTCCCTTTTATGCAGACCTTTGGGCTTGGTTACTTTCGTTGTTTGGGAGTAGTTGGAATCTACCAACAGAAGTTCACGTGCTCTTTAACCATTATACCTTTTATTGGCTTACAAAAAATAGGGAGAATTATATGGAGACGTGCTTGTGCTGCCTTGATTTGGACTTTTTGAGAAGAAAGAAATGTTAGAATTTTTCAAGAAAAGGAAATGAGCAATCATGAATTGAAAGACTGTGTGTTAAATAGGGCAATACCTTGGAAATCTTTCATCAATTCTCCTTTAATGACCTTTGGAAAAATTGGTCAGTAGTAGCGAGGTGTTCATCCCTAAAGGACAAATCAATTACAAACTAGTTTCCTCCATTCGAAGGTTCATTGAAGTTGAAATTTGATGGAAGTAGCATGGATAATCCAGGATTATCCGGAATGAGGGGTGTTTTGAAAAATGAGAAGGGAGAGATTTTGTTGCTCTACTCGGGTCTTTTGGGAATTGAGGACTCCATCAGGGCAGAACTTTTAGCTGTTGTACAAGGGGTGCAATTTGCAAACCAACTGGGGGTACAACACCTAACAATCAAGGGGGATTCCAAAGTGGTGGTGAGTTGGTTGAAAAATCCTGAAGAGGCTATGTGGCATTACAAGAATGAAATGAAGAAATTTAGTTGGTTGATAAGGAATATATTGGTCACTATATAGTAGGTGGGGAGATCAACAAATACTTTGTCAGAGCTAAGTAAGGGGTAAATAAGGAAGAATTGTTTTGGGCTTAGTTTTGATTATTGCATTTCTTTCCTAGTTTACTTGTAAGATTCAAGGAGGGGCTGCAGTTCGCGCCTCTCCCTGGGATGTCGTATGAACTCACTCTAAATCTGCTTCTGAATTAATAAATTTATTATCATTCATAAAAAAAAAATGACCTCTTCATTCTTGATTGGTTATTTAACTCGTACACGAATTTGGATTTACTCTTAACAGGCGCGCCTCACACCAATTTCATAACATGTTGCAATTGTGCATGGGGAGTATCTCGGTAGAGCCACACGCCAATCTCACAGTATGTTGCAGCTGTGCATGGGGAATGTATCCGCATGAATGATAATATACAAGTAGGGAAGATTCTAAATGTGTGGCTGCAAGTGATGTGAGATCGATGTTGGGAAGAGTAAATCCGGATTCATTGTACACATCTTCATTAGTCATCATCTTTTTATTTTTTTATTTTTAATTTTTTTGGCAAAGAAAAGAGCAGCTTCAGTTCATTCTCATTGATTGTACGCAAGGACCTATAGCCTGTAGAGTGAAAACATAGAGATGCTTGTCCTTTACATTCAAAATGAACTAAATCATGAGCAAGCTTGATGTCATTGAGCAATTGCAAGATTTTGCTGCAGCCGTGGTCGCTGCAGATGCAGATCTACTTTTCTGAAGCATCCCCAGGGGCAAACTAGTTTGGAGACCAAAAGGACGACACCGGTTATTCCTGAAGAAAGTTTAAGCCAAAAACACTTGCCCAGTGTCCACATAAACTCTTCATTTGGATAATTCTTTATTATAACATTAAAATTCTGAAGGCTCATTTTTGTTGGATCTGCCAAGCCATCCTTCCACTTTCTAGAAATAGAGTTGGTCCAGTAGGAAATATCCCCACTGAAAATCAAGAAACTAACAAATCCAGGCTTGTATTCCCGTCTGATCAACAAAAACCTCACGTGTTACAAGGGACAGAGAAGGTCTTAAAAATTTAAAATATTTTCAATGCCTAATTTTCTATACGACTCCGGTGTCTGCTTATCCTACACAATTGATTCCAAGCCCAGATAAAAAGGATTGTATTAGGTTGGTCACTGATATTAAAACCTTAATATGAACATGAATTCTGAATCGTATTCTAGGGCATTTAATCTATCAGGAAACATGGTTCTTGATACAGCAAAATGGTGGGACAAAAATGGTATAACCAGCACAGATAGTTGTATAAATTGGGGCTAGGCTGAATTGGATTGGAAGTTGAGTATTTATTTTTACATCAAAATTTTTTGGAAAATTGTCTAAAGCTCATCATGAATTTCATTTCTCTTAAACTCATCACAACTTTTCAAAATGTTTAAAACTCACAATGTCACTAAGTTTTTATTTTCCAAAACTCACCTTCCGTTTGTGTACTGTTAATGCTTCTTAACAGAGGTGTCCATGTTAGCATAAATAACAATTTTCATGACCAATTTACCCTTGAATGGCGAGTTAGATGAAAAATGGTCTTTTCAGTTTTCAATTTTCTTGTTTTTTTTTTTTGCATTTTTAGTGTTTTGTTATACTTTTCAATGTTTTTTATAACTTCTGTTTTTTTTTACATTTTCTATTTTCTACAATCTATAAATATTCCTGTATTTTTTGTTATTTGTAATTTCTATGTTTTTTCTATAATATTTGGTGTTTTTTCTACAATTTTTATTTTCTGATTTTGTTTTTTCAATTTCTATAGTTTCTATAATTTGAAAATAATTTTTCATTTTGTTTGCAATTTCAATAATTTTTTATAATTTTTGTAATTTCTATGTTTTTATGTATTTTATATTTGAAAATATTTTTTTGAATTTTTCTTTTTTTTCATGTCTAAATATTAAAATGACAATATATTAACACCTGTTAATTTATTTTGTATATATTTTATATTTTTCTAGAAGATTAAAATGGTAATTTATTAACACCTGTTAGTCTGTTTAACATCAAGTTAGTGACATGGTGAGTTTTAGACATTTTGAAAAATTACGAGTTTAAGAGAAATGCTGAAAACTCATGATGAATTTTAGACAATTTCCCAAAATTTTTAATGGATTATACGCCCATCAGTTTTGCAATTCAATTTTTTAATTGTTGGTGATTAACTGAGGTAGATTTGTTGACCATGATGCCTCATCAGCTGTAGAAGAGGATAAAAACTCCACATTTAAAGAGGCTAAGCTGACATTTGAGAAACAGATATTACATCAACATTTCTAACTGCACAAACATGGTTGCAGATATCGGTGTGAATGTATTTTCACTCCACCAGAGAGATACAAAGGGCAACAGCCATGCCCAAAATTAGCGAGACTAACTGGATCATTGTACTCTTACATGTTGAGCTCCCACTATTCATTTCTGGGAGAACTCCAGCAACTGCAATATAAATAAACCCTCCCGCTGTAAATCCCTGCAGGAAATAAAGGGTGATTAGTTAGTAATTTCATTGGATCCAACCAACACATCTTTCTTCATAGATATTATTTTTACCTCAATCAAAGAAGATTGTCCTGGATCTTTCCCTACAAGCAAAGCCTGCGGAATATTACAGAAGCAAGTAATATTTTATCATTCTTCTCAAGAATCTAGAGAGGAAAAAATATGCTGCAGGAAACATTTACTAACCAATGCAGTTCCTGCTAGCGCCACCAGTGCTGAAAGGAAGTTGAAAAAGAGGGCTTTTGGGGCACTGAAACCCGATCTTACCAAGATTCCAAAGTCACCAACCTGCAGGCGACAGGCAAATGCCAATATCCATGTATAAAAAATGAACTGGAGTGTGAAAATAGTAGGTAAGGATCAGAAGAATAAAATGTTAAAAATAGTTGGGATAGAACAATTTTAACAGGACTTGTTTCGGAAGGGGAAATCATTAACATAATAAGTGCTTATGCACTTCAAGTGGATTTAGAAGAAAACGTAAAGAAACAATTTTGGGAAAATATAGGTGCACTAATTAAAAAAAATCTAAATGGAAAGAAGGTTTTTATAGGATGAAATCTGAAGGGCATGTGGAAAAGGTGCAAGATAAGAATTTTAGAATGAAACAAGGTGCATGGAGGATTTGAGTTTGGAGAGAAACATGAAACAGAAAATATGAATTTAGAAATTGCAATAGCTAGAGGATATGACAAGAATAAAACATATTCTAAAAAGAAAGATAAATGTTTAATAGCACTTAAAATGGATCAGATTCTAGTCAAATGCATTTTTTCCTTGCCAAAGCGAACAAAACAAATGATGTACAAGAATGTTGAGGGCCTGGGAATAGGATCTCGTCACGGGTCGGTCCACAGGGAAAACCTCCTGTTTTCCCTTGTTCCTTCCTGCTCGTGATGAACCTATCTTGGCGCCTTCGGTGATTTGTCCAAGAGATCACCAACTCTCCTAACTCACTCT